AACTATGTCTACATGGCACTGTAATACCTTTAATTTAGTGGCATATATCTTGAAGTAGTTTAGATGACAGAGTATATGAATATCTCTTCCCAAGGCTGGAAAAGAGTAAAAGAGTACAGAAAAAAAGAGTAATTAGTGTTTCACCAGCCTGGACACCAATTTACTGGACTTCTTTTTCAGAATGAATGAATTTTCCCAAATATGAAAATAACAATGGGGTAGCCTTAATTATGAGTCAGTTTAGCCTACAAAGCTATTAATATGCAGATTCAAACTCCTGTAAAATCCTGAAGACCGTAAACCTTTCTTACAGCGTAAGAACCTAGTCCGGTTGCTTTCCAAATCCTGACAGTATGAATCAGGCGGTAGATCTCTCATGAGGGCCTCAAGAAGAGCCACGCACTCTGTAAAGTCTGTGTCATCGTCTGTTACATTATTAGTTTTCTATTACCTAAAAGCAGAAGCTTAGCTAATCATTGACTTTTGATAAGGAAATATGATTAGATCCTTGATGATATTCCTCAAGATCGAGGTACAATGTCAATCTTTGTCCCATCTCTATGCAGGACTATGAAGGAGAAGCAAGTATCTGAGAAAAGAGGAGGAGGCAAGCTACTTTAAATAGAACGAAAGAGTACTGAACAGTGTTTTCTTTCCTCTTTTCAGTCTGCAAACATTTTTGTAGCAGGCAAGAACTGAGGCTAACTGACCTTTTTCAGGAACCTCTTATTCTGAAGGAACCTCTTATTCTTATCCTCTCTTATCACTGAGACGATACAAAAAACAGCAGCCGAACAATTTTTTGTATGCTGCATGTGAATGGCAAGTGTCCTGGTTTCTGAATGTTGCACACATACTTTGTCTGCTCTCAGTGTTACCTCTTTCCCACTGAAATGAACAGAATAGATGTGGCCCCAAATGAAGCCATGAGGGACAGGGCAGCTGTGTAACACACAGGCAGTGCTAATGGAAGGGTATACTCCCTTTACCTCCTGGAATAAACCAGTATGTGGGAAAGGCCCCCAGAACTTTAACTTAGAAGTTTTGTAGGCTGCCCTATTTGCCTTTTTACACTAGAAATCTCATGCTGCAATAATCCAGGGCTTGCATATGGGATTTCAGTCAGGGCTTTGGACAAAAGGACAGAAATCATTTATAGAAATAATTTCTATTTCAAAAGGACAGAAATTATTTATATTATTTATACGTTAAGTGTAATTTGAATATCTGTGAAACTCACTAATCAAATTCTTAGATGAATCTTGGAAGTAAGTGTGTCACTACAGTCCCATGGTCATCCAAGTGTTTTCAACCTCTTCTCCTGTCCCAAGTGCTTAATTCTGCCATTGCTGTTGTGCTGACGCTAACACTTGCATGACCAGACAGTGCAACAGTTCAAGGAGATGATCCTTCCCCATACGAACCCAGGAAAAGAGAAGGACTAATTTTTGGGCAGATTCCAATCACACAAATGCTAGTATCACTGAAAAGGAAGAGGTAGGACCATGCAGCCAGCTGTGGGGAGGAGAGCAGGACCATGGCAGGTCTGATATATTTTGCCATGTCAGCCCACCTGGAAGCAGTACTACCTAACCAAATCAAAGACCGGGCAGAACATGTAATGTCTGCTGTTGTTATTGCAGGTCCAAATCCTGGAATCATGTAGAGCCAAGGAAAGCTTGTGTGTTTTCATTCAAGAAACTTAGATTTATTCTACCTAATTTAGACACTTACTTGATATGTCTAATTCAGAGTTTTAATTCTCTGTGGTCCACAGAAGATCTACTGAATTTAGAGAGGAGACCTGCAATTAGATCAGATGAATTTATGCCAAAAAGCTATTATGCACACACTAGAAACCAATATGGAAACAAAGAGGAATACTGCTGAAGAACCCTTTAATCCTAAAATTTCAGCAAAAATCTATTAGCAGTACAAAATTGGAGATGGAAACATATTTTTAGCATGATGGCTTACTTTTAAGAATTCTTTTCTTCAAGATCAAAACAAAGCAAAAAGCTGCATGTAAGTGTTCCTATATCTCCTGTAGTCAGTTGTTTAAGTATCACCATTGCTTTCTCTTCAGGACAAAGCGCTGGGTTTCTGGGAGCCAGATATCAAAACCTGCTATTCTTTGGCTAAATGAAAAACAATGGAAAGAACAGCAAAACTTTAAAACTTCAAAACAAACGAAGTATTAAAAGGACAAAATGCTTTTTTTTCCCCTTTTTCTTTCATCTTTAAAATGTGGGCTACTTTTTTGTGGCATATGCTTCTTGCTATATCAATATTCAAATGTATAATTAACGAAAAACTACTGTAAGTGGGGTAAATCTCTTCTGAGGTGTGCAAATTAAGGCTACAGAAAAAAGCAAGATTAAAAAAAAAGACACATCCAAGTCTAAATGATCAAACTCCTTGGATTAAGAATCGTATCCAGCACTTCTAAAACATCAGCAATGTTGTCATCCGTTCAAACTGAAGTAAGCTCCTCCACCACTGACCTTAGTCAATAATCATTTTACTTCTTTTTTTGTCATAACCCCTTTTTGCTCTAGTTTATTTCACTATCAACAAATGGATGTGTGCATGAAGAGACTGAGAGAAGAGCATATTCTGAGATCAAAGTCCAAACTCACCTTGCAAAACCTTAAGGGGAATTTTAAAAGCAGAGACCAAACATTTAAGGACTTTGAAACCAGGGAAACTGAAATAGAATCATAGCCAAATTGCATTTCATACCTTTGCTGCTTATACAGTATATTTAATCCCCTCGGAAAGCCCCTTTGCCATGGGAGAATGCCTGTCTCATGAGGTGCAGCGGAAATGGTAGGAAACATGCCATGGTTATTTTTGCAGGCTTAGCATACACAAAACATAATTAGTCTCCACATTGATAATGCCATATAAGTAATGCTGGAGAGCATTTCCACAAACATAAAAATATCAAAAAGGCTGCATTATGCCCCTAGCTTTTCTTCCATGCTCATAAGGTTTTACTATCTATGTATCTATTTACTCCTAGCACCAACTCTTTGGGAATGTTGTAGAAAATCAGGTTTTCACTACTTATTTGTATTAAAAAATAATAATTTCAGTGCAAAAGCTGGGGCTATTGAGCCTGTTGAGCTCCCTACAGCTTCCTGGCATTCCTAGAATCGGGTTTTCACAACTTCAGTTGCCTTTCCACTCCTGCCACTGTCACCCTCCGTACCCTTGGGCAAGTCACTCTTCCTTTCTAACAACTTCTCTGTTAGATCTCCATCATTTTTAGCTACTTAGACTGCAGAGTCTGCAGGTTATGTACTCTCTCTCACTAGTCATTCATGCAATGCCTCTCATCAGTGTAGTTTCAAGTCTGTGTTGTTGTATTACAGGTAAAATGAAATAAGTTGACTGCCAACAGACAGTAAGTATTGGAGGTTCAGTCCTGCTGTGTGAATAAATGGTTGTTGATTCTTCTTCTGTTCCAAGAAATATGTTAATAGCTGCTACTAAAGAGAACACCGGTGTTAGTCAAGCATACAGTCAACGAAATACTTCAGTGAATCGTACCTATTTCCACAGCTAGTGACTGCAGCTACAGTTCCTGCGTGAGCTGATAATTAACTAAAAAACATTTGACATGAGATAACACAAACACACAAAAAAAGATACATTTACATTAATTTTACAATTAAAAGGGTAGACTTACAGAATGCATTTTTAATTATTAAGTGTTTTCGTCATAAATTGATATGCCTTCCATCAAAGTTAACAAAGCCACTTTATTCAAGTGAAGATGTGACCTCAAATTTATACTGTTACAGCCATGCCTTTTTAATTATTTTGTTTAAAAATGGCAACCCTGGCGCAATTATAAAAGGTCAGCACTGTACTCACTGTATTTTCCTATGAACTCCTTGGGTTTTTTGGTTTACCATTTTCTGGGATACATTCTCAAGAGTTCTGTATTACCTATGACCTTTCTCTCAGAGGAAAAGTTATCCATATATAATATGAATAACGTATTATGAAATAACCAGCTTCACAGAAAAGGTCAAAATATGGGATAAATGCAAGTACATCTCAGCGTGAACAGTGGTAAGCTGAACGCAGGTCTTGAAATGACACATGAGCGACATCTTCTGTTAAGGGAAAATTGGGCCTCGTGGGAATTACCTCACTTGTGTAGGTCTCCTAAACACATTAGCAAGAGGCTGTACTTTTTTTCAAGCACATCCTTCAAACACCTGGTCCCTGAGGCACCAGAAGAAAATAAGCTAGTCAGATTCCTAGCTCAGTGCGGTAACCTCTTGGAGATTATGATAAACTCAGTGCAGATATCAGAAATTGTGGACTAAGAACCACCAAAGGTCATTTAGGCTCTTTATATGTGAAAAGGAAGGGCCGAAGCATGCCATCAAAATTATATTTGTTAGAAACTTATTTATATCCAAGTAAATAAAACTGAATCCACCTCCTTCTTTCTCTTCAGATAAGATTAGTTCAGTCCATTTCCAGATTACTTTAGGTGTTTTGTCATTTCCCATTCATTACACTGATAAGAAATCTTGTAGCTCTGATTTATACAGGGCCAGGAAGGGAATACTGCTCACACCATTTCTTAAATGGTTCAGTCAGACCTTTTCAGGGTGAAGGGCAGACGTTTCTGATGACCTGCAGGGGGATGAGCTCTCCTTGAATTCTCTGAAATACTTTTGACTTTCTGTCAGCGTTCATCCCCTGTTCTTCTGTTTTGCTAGTCACAACTTTTCATGCCAGTACACAAGTATTTCGACATGCTTTAGGTAATTCAGTAATATTCTGAATCTCTCCCTTTTGGAGCAGTGATCGTTGCTTGAATCTGAGGTTAGATTACAGTTGCCACGTGCTTAAAAGAGCCTGACTGATAATCAGACAACAGGCAGGACAGGTAAAAAAACAGTCATGGGATAAAAAGTAAAGCGTAAGTTTCCCAAACGCCTAGATTAATTCTCCATGTGCTCCCTTGTTGGCAGGTTGGTTACTGGAAGGACATGGAGCAGGAAGAAGCAGCAGAAAAAGTCAAAACTGAGGGAAATGAATCATCCATCCTGCTGACAGGATTAGAAGGAAACACGTTGTATCACCTAACCGTGAGGGCATACAATGCTGCAGGATATGGACCACCGAGTACTGCTGTGCGTGCAGCAACCAAGAAGTCCCGTAAGTGGTCTCAATACCTTTGCTCAAAGGGAGAAGTTAGGGAGCAACTCCTGCCCTCTTGAGTTTCCCATTAATGCAAGTGTAAAATAATCAGGAATCACATATAGTTTTGATTTATGGCTTTGCTTCGATGTTTAGACTTGAATTCATATGACTTTGCATTCATAACAAAGCTTAGTTTCCTAGAAAACAAAGCTGAGCATTTTTGACAGAGAAAGGAGATAAGAGAGTTCAAGTTCATAAGCTCTGTAGAGTATCTGTTAAATGTCAGTAATGGTACAAAAAAAATACCTTAACAAACTCCAGCTAGAGATGGGAGCCTGCTAACATAACCAGTTGTAAATGTAATGAAGATTGAAATATTTTTGCTTTCATTTAAAAAAAAAATCTACCTAAAAGTATATTTATGTACATGTTGCTATTTTTTCTCTTCAGCTCCCAGCCAAGCACCAAGCAATATTATGTGGATACAGGATGGCTCTCACGTGTCTCTTGGATGGGAGCCAGTCAGACCTCTAGCGAATGAATCTGATGTAATGGGATACAAGGTCAGTATTTCCCCTTGCTTGCTCACCTTCCTCCCTTCCAAACAGTTTTACCTCTTCCTTGTTTGCTTTTCCCCTGTTCTTGTTTTTCTGTGTAACTAAAATATGCTATACAGATTTTCTGCAATCAGTTTTAACCAGAAAAAGCAATAAATAAAAGTGAAAAGAGCAAAATGTCCCAATATTTTCTCTGTTGTGATTTTCAACTACTGAATTATAAACTAAGTGACCTCTGAGGGGATCACTTCATCATATCTGGCCTAGAAGTGGCTACTAATAAGACCAGACTGTAGTGAAATTCCTACTAACACTTCAATTTAACTGTGTTTGCAGCAGGATTTAGAGAAATGTGGAAGAATGTGGCATCCTAAATGTCATTAAAATTAGTATTTTTATGGAGCAGAAAAACAAATACTTAGGTTTGTTTTGTGATTATGGTGGTGTGACATTCAGTGAGTGTAACATCTGGCATTTAAAGTTTTGAAGTTTTAAAGACTTAAATCTAGATTAACTCCTAAATAAAAAGTCATAAAAAGAAGATGAGTTTACTGCAGTCTTTTAACTCAAAATAGAATGATTTCAGTCTTCTTAATGAGTATTGAACTTTTTTATATTGAGGCAAATGTATAATCATTTCAACAGACTACAGTCTGTTATTCTCTCTGATATAACAGGAAGTATCATCAAGAAAAGGTAAAAGTTGATAAAATAAAAAAAGTAGAAGTTGATTCAAATAAACCAGAAACTACTTTAACCTTTATCAAAATAGTTGAGATTCAGAAAAAGTTCAGTTGACTGCTTTAAATTTTTACAATGCTCTGACCTTTTCAGTTTTATCTGTGAGCAGAGATTCTTATGCAGAAGTACCAAAAAGACAGCAATGTACACTCTTCCATTCCTCCCACTTGGAACAAGCATGTACTGAGCTTCACAGGAGGTGCAGAGATAGACCTGAACTACTCTCAGTTGGCTTAGTTGGCTAAGGTAAAGCCAGTAAGGAATTTATTTAGGGCATTTTCTTTATTTTTGAAGCTGGATTCTGGAACCGAAAGTCTGAATATCCATATGAATTTGGGAACATGAAGTTGAAACCCTGAATACATATCTGAAGAAAGTTTGTTACTTGGAAAGTTTTTTGTGCAACACCTACACCCGGAGAGGGCAAATGCTGCATCTTGCTCTTGATCCTGTTCAAAGTCCTTTCACATCCATTAATTGTTAATATACTTTACTACAATATTTTGAAATCATTTTTTGCAGGATAGGAAGGAGTAAAGAAAGGTAGGAGGCAGTAAAGTATTGAAATGTTACAGCCAGAAATCTTTAATGAAAGCATGAAACAGTGACTATTTCAATGACTGCATTACACAAAAGGTCTGGTATAGCTCTTGAATGACCACTATGATTTTTGATCTCCTTTACTGACCATAGGTGTTATTTAGGCAAGAAGGCCAGAGCAACAGTCAAGTCATAGAAACAGAGAAAACTTCTGCAGTGGTACTCCTTCCTGATGTTGGTGTCTATATTATTGAGGTGTGTGCAGTCAGTGAAGGAGGGGATGGGACTGCTAGTCCCCAGATCAGAGTTCCATCTTTTTCAGGTAAGGTTACCCATATATTTGGAAGAGTGGTGATTATAGCTATGCTAATAAAAAATTAACATCATTATGCTCTACTTGAAAAAAATGTTCTCACAACGATGTAGCTATTCAATCATTTATCACAATCTTCAGTTCTATGAACATTTCGGAAATGAAAATACACATGATTGATCTCACAAGAGGATAATGGCTTTGTATTTGCTAAATAAGAGTACTCTCAAGGGCCAGTCTCACACAGAGAACCTTAAATCTGGTATCACACGCAGCAAACCTATGGGTGACCTATGGATCCGTGTTGATCTGATGACTGCAGTTATTGTTTTAAAGTCCTTCAACAAATTGCCAAACCTAAGTGGGTAATTGCTTCTTAGTAAAGACTAGACATTTATTTTCCTCTCCCAGACCTCTGGGAAGCATCTGTCGTCCTTTTCCTGCTTTGCCAACAACACCAACAAAAAGTCCAGAATACGTATAAGGCACTATAGAAGAGTTTAAGCTTGCTGTGGAGAAGCCTACCCATTACACACCAGTGGAAAGGACACTTAACTATCAGCTCCCTCACTTGTTAAGTCTCATGAGACCAAATCTCTTTTCTGTGTTATTAACATCTATGCAGACGGTAAGTGTACTGGTCAAATACTGGTTCACATGCCAGGAAAACACAAAAGAACAAAGCACTGTCTATCCTTTAATTCAAGTGACGTCAACTCTACCAGTACAGTCAAGCATTAAATCGAGATAGTGCAGTTGCCAAAAACAGTTATTGACATTAAACAAAAGCAAGACAGAGGTGCTCATAGCGATGAAATCATTGTTGTGCAATTTACCACAGTAAGCACAGTAAGCATGTCTTATCAGCAGTGCAAGATACCAGAAGTACATGGGTTCTCAAAGTAAGGTTCAGGATGTCATTAGTCATTTGCTTTATCCGTATTTTCATTACTCTTAGTCCAGAGAATGGAAAAAATTAAATGAATTTAGATCATAATATTTGTGTTAAATAAAACGCCCCATAAATATTGTCACCTAACCCTAGCCTGACATGAATTTCACATCATTATGACCCCCCACATATTTAGTCATAGGTATCTAGTGCCATCTGAGATGCTCAAGAGTATTTGAGATATCCATGTGGGGCTGATAAACAAGATAGGATTTACAAGAGACCTGTGCCTGTCTAGCGTATTATCTGGAAGCTCGAAGGGCTCTCCAGGGTGTCTTAGATACCATTAGATGTCCATGCCTAGACAACAGAATTTAGCTGTAAATGTCTACGCTAGTGAACTAGATGTCTCAGATACCATTATAGAGAGCTGAAATGTAATCCATACAGACAGTAGAGCCTAGACAGCAATTCAGCTGACCGTCTAGGGGGATAGAATTCAAATATTTAGACACAGGCACCTCAGGGCATCTGAGATGTCTTAAGATATTCCAAATGTTTGCACAGAACAGACAGATATGATGTAGGGCTTGCAGGAGACCCACATCAGTCTGGACCACCAGCTGGAGGTGTAGCATCTAACACAGCTAAAATGGCACTGGATGCCTGCGTTTAGGTAGTTGAATCCTGTTATATATGCTAGCTTCAGAATAAGTCCCATTGATTCACTTGAGTAGATATTCCTTGATTACAGCAGGACGTTGGACACTCTATTCATACACCGAAACCAACATATAAAAAACTTAAATTAGAAACTCAATTAAATTTCCTAAGTATAGGCACCCAGTGCCATGAACGTCCTGTGATATCCTACCTGGTAGGGTAGCTCAGATCCTGAGAGCATCACAAGTGGAATTAGTTGGGTATGTTAATGGCAACAGGATCATGCCCACTGGTTTTCTTCTCACCTTGTAATGTATTATTATAGTACTAATGTATTGTCATGAAGTACCTGATGCTGGCTAGCTTCTATTTCTTCAGTTAACTACATTTCTCCTCTGGACAAATATCATGATGAAGGGCTAGTTTTCATGCCTTGTTTCAGGAAAAACATTCATGATTATGACTCCAGATGCTTTTTGCAGCATAATGTTTAAGGCATAAAAGTCATATATCCTGTTGGAATTTCCTGTTTATTTGTAGACTGATAGATCTACAGACTGATATTTATCTGTAGCCTGATAGAGAATTTGAGATTTTGTACTGCTATCACAAAATCCATAACTTCCTCATGTGTGTGTAGGAAGCCTGATTTGGCATAACAGATCTCACAAAGTAATGCAGTGCCTAAAAATTAGGCTTTTGCTAAGCATTATAGAAGCAAATTGTTGTTAACTGAATGTACTGAATTGTTTGTGTTGTTTGTTCTTTAATTTCTTTGCTTTTCATTTCAGGAGGAAAAGTAACAAGTGCTCAATCCACTTTACATGCATTCTCTACTTCCTCATCCTCTGTAACATTGCTTTTGGCACTGGTGGTTCCTTCAGCCTCATGGTGAAGACTGCAGACTTTGTTGTTGTTGTTGTTTGTTTGCTTTAGCTTGATGACACCCAGGGATGGAGTTTTATGTCTGTGGAGAAACTGGTAACCCAAGCTAATGCTCAAAGACCCATAGAAATACCTGTGGAGCACTTCGAGGAGTGCTGGGGACATGGTCAATAACTCATCAGGTTTTTTTCTCTTCAGTTTTTTTAAAAAGTCCTCTGGGGAGGGGACACTTACTGGCCCAAAAATATGCAGATTGTATGTAATAAACTTTTGTAAGCCAATGTAATTTCTGTCAAATGTACTTCACTTTTTTAATATGTTTAATTTGGTGACCCCAGTCATGTATCATTAGGTGTTTGAACAGTGGTGTCTAGTACTGTACATCTGTTTGGTTTGGAAAAAAATCTTTTTTAAAAAAAGACAACAAAATTTGGTATAGCTTTGTCTATTGCTTTTGTTGCATCCCCTAAGGTTGACTGTTCCCACTAACAGGACAGTAGGAGAGAAAAATATACTTCAGCTATATAGCTCACTCCAAAAGTACAGAGAATTTGTTCTGAAAAAGTATTAATACATATTAAATTAGCAGTTAATTAAATTAGAGAGTGAGAAAATGGAGCAGAAAAGAAGCTATTTGTCTTATTGCAAGGTACCCTGAAATGATTAAATACAAACTTAAAAGGAAAAAAGTGCAATTGTTTTCATCCAATATCATGTGATTTAAGGTCAAAGGAATCAAATATTTATTTTCAATAGTAAATACAAAGTCTATTCCTAATGCATATGGCAATGAAATATCCACTGGGCATTTAAGCATAATATATGCTAGCTGCTGAGTGGACAAATAAAACAATGCAAGCAGATACACCTTTTCCACCTTTTCCAACCACTTTTCAGTCACAAACACTTCTTTTCCTCTGGGTTCATTTTTAAGTAAAATTATATACTTTTTATATTTGGTAATTAAGCTAAAGTATATATATGACACCATATTATGAAGAGAACATTAACTTTTTATGGAATGTAGCCATTCACACATACAGACTCCAATAGGATATGTTTTGGAGAATGGTGTCACCTAAAAAATGCTTGGAGTAGCATTACTGAGCATCATCCCAGTTATTTAGTTAACTGGTTCTATTTCTAGAGCTCACTAGGTAGAGATTGTCCTTGTAGGGACTGTGTGCTATCAGTTTTAATTCCTAATCTTCTTTGCTGTACCAAACAATTTTCCACTCTACAGACAATTTGGACAATTTTTCTACATTTAAATTAGAACGATCCCCAGTGTAGATGGTGTGCGTGTTTGTACAATATGGTGTGTGTGGTGTTATGAGGGAGGGTATTTTGCTACCATCCGTCTAGGGATTGTGCCTAGGGCAAACATTCCCTTGTCAGGGAAAAATCAAGTGTATGATGCTCAAAACAGTTTAACAGATAAGTCTTAATAGTGTAGTTCTTCTAGCTGTCCGTCCCTCTAATAGATTTGATGCAGATCTGTTTCGATTGATGGGTTCTGTGACAAAAATGTTATTTTTTGTTAGCTTCACAGTACACTCCAACTGTGCCCTATCTTAGCACCTTTAAAACAGTAGCCAAGAAAGTAGGATGCAGATAATGTGCTTGGTAGGTAAAGCTGACTGACAACTAAATTATTTTTGTGTTTTGAATGTTACCAATAGACTTTTTCAGAGATGATTCAGCTCATATCTTTATATCCACTAATAATATTAAATCAAATCCAAAAAAGAGGTATTAAATGTAATAAGTCACAACACTTACGTGGAAGCGAAGGCAAGGTGGCTAGCTGAGCATGGACTGCTGTGTAGTTACAGACAGAAGACGACCTTCTGTATCTCTGCTTCTGGAACAGCAGTTTGAGATCAGAGAAGGAAGGTGGAATGTACCTTGCTGATAGAGTAAACTCAAAAAAAAAAAAAAATAGCTGCATGCTGTGGTGTGCAAAACAGCAACATTTCCATTGTGTGGAGAACTTGCGTTAGCAGACCGTCATTTTTCAGAAGATTAAAATCAACAAGAATAAAATGATGAACCAAAAAGCAAAATGGCTATTTTATAAATCAGTTAAGCATAATTCCCTCTATTTTTTATACAGTTGCTTGCCAATGCAGTTCATTTCAGAGTATTCAAAAAGGTTACAGTCACTGCTGGTGGCACGTTGGTTAAACAGCTTTGCGAATACAAAAAATGGTTATGCTTTGTAAAACGAATGAAACTCTGATAAAGAGATAGAGCTGCATCCTGCTATATCTCAATCTGTGGTATCAAAATATAGATAAAAATACTGAACGTACCATCAGGTAATGTAGTTGTATTGCAGGGACAAAAAGGGGTATGTTTTATATTCAGTATGAACAGAATATGTATTTTGCATCTTAAATATATTAATAAACATGTTTAAAATGTTTAAGTACCTACGTATTACATCTCTGTTACTTTGTAGAAGAAAGTGTTTCCTTATCATGACATTTTGCGTTTTATTTCTTTGCTGCAATAGAGAGCTTTTCTTTTTCTTCATGTAAAAGATTGTAATAGTGCAGTCTAGCATCATTGAGGAGACTGTATTTTTGTATATGCCACAAGACATGTTTGGGGAAAAATGGTTAGGAAAAAACTTTGTTTGCTGACCAGAAGACAGATACTGTTAGCCCATATCAAAATGTTAGATATATTGTATACAATCTGTATATATGCTATATATAACGATATATACTACGTGGAAAACACAGTAATATAATAGTTCCTGTGTACTGTTCTTGTAACATTAGATCTTTTTAATAAATAATTCTCTTTTTATTGACTTTTACCTTATCTCCTGTCAGCTTCTGAATTATACTCATAGAGAATAGGGTGACATGAACGTTTTGGATTCCAGCAGCAAAAATCTTCTAATTACACGACGTTCAAGAAGAAAATGATGAATCTGCAGTAGTGAATCTGGACTATGCAGCCATTAAAATCACATAGTATTTAGCATTTTTCTAATTTTGGGCATATGTTGGTTTCCATGGTCTGATATGACTTTTATAATTAAATAATTGGAAGGCACAAGAAGGCTAGAACTATAAATGTGACAACTTTACCTAATAAACATTGCAGAACAAGCCTGCAAAACAAATTAGCTTCTGAGATAAAGCTTTCTGCATTTTTTAAAAATCATGAAAAGAGGTGCTTTATAAGGAAATCACTAAGGCTAATCTATTATATACTGAAGTATTAAGTGGTTTCTGGACTGCTCTGACATGTATATTGTTCTTTGCGGTGTCACTGAGACCCCATGGCCACGCAGGTACAAAAGCACAGCATGACTGTTTCGTGCTCTGTTGAAAGGCTTAGTTGCTTTGTCTTACGCTTGAAACATTTTGTGTGAGAAATCACAAGAAAAAAGCTTTCAGAAATACACATATCCTTTTTGTGGAAAAAAAAATGTAATAATGTAATAACAACCCCATTATAGTAAATACATTTTTTGATAATTTTATTTGAGTTTTTAATAATCCCCAATCACTGCTTTATGAAATGCATATTTATAAGGGTAAATGACTTTGCAACACAATAATAAGTCAAAAAGCTCATTCTGGAAATAAAAATAGATTGCCACAGTCACCATTTGAACTGAGACTTCAATTACAAAATGGCTGTTGCTTAAGTAGCATTTTATATCAGGACTTCGATTAAATTAGTTATGAACGTCACAGAAAACTGCAATGACCTGTTTTTGCTGACATGGAGAACAGTGCATATTGAAAATCCATATCCTAGCAGAACTTCTATCAAACTGTAATCCACTCTTGGCCTTTTACGGCTATCATCCCAATTCCTCTGAAGATGAAAGACATTTTCCTTCTTAATTACTTCCTCTGTTCTAGAGCAAAACAATGTCAGTGATAAGAGAAAATGAACAGCATTTTACTACGGTAGGTTAGTTGGCTTTAGGCTATTACACACAGCCACCGTACTAAGCATGTCTGCGTACAGGCTGCTTCCAAAAGTACAGGCCTGACCTTGCTATATCAGAGACTTTTCTCTTAATTCCAGCAAAAACAGACATGAGTCCTGACTTTGCCAGTATTGTGGTTCATCTTTTTAATACTTTGAACAAGATAATGATAGTGTGTTTATACATTAAAGACTTGCAAGCGAAGGAGAAAAATCAATGGAAAATTGTACACTTGCAATTTCAATATTCACACCAATTATACTTATTACAGTGGTTAGCCGCTTAGGCAAACTGGTACAGAGGTTTGGATATCTCTCTGATCTTTCCTGTGCTCCTTTTCTGCTGTCAATTATTAACTAAGCATGCCAGCTCACACAAGAAACCTGCCTAATCATCAGAAGAAACTAATAAAGTGATCTGTAATGCTTCTTGTTGCTTCTTTTACTATGGTCAAGCTGATACGCCTGGTTAGAGAAAAACACTCTCCCTCATTTTGTTTTTGTTTTTTTTTCCACATTAAGGCCCAAACTAGTCATTTCTAAAGCAAAGATGGAATAAAAACATAAAAGAGTCTTTCTAAAAGATATAGTTATCAAGATGAATAGGAAAGGCATGCACTGTGCATGCATTAATCAAAAATGAAGGTATTCAGCATGTTTTGATTTTCATAATGAATGTAAGATAGGAAACTGCATCAATTTCCTTTCAGTAACAGAAAATATATGCATAAAAAGATAGTGAAAGCATTTGAAGCGTATCTAGGTCAACAGTTTAGTGAGTACTATTCTACTGTAAGATGCATTGCGCTAATGCCTGGCTGAGCAAGTATTTCCCTTTTACAACGACATAATCTCTTATCTCCTACAAAAGGAACTTGTTAAGGTAGGGTAATAGAATAGATTCTTCTAATATTCCTTCAAAATTCCATCAAATCACTGAGTGAGAAAAGAAGTCTCAAATCAATTGCTTATTTTTGTACAATTCAATCCCTTATTTTTGTGTAATATATACACCCTAATCTATCATTATTTTGAAGTCATTCGAGGTGATGGCAATATTTTATTGGTATGCTTGTTTGAAGCAAGAAGTTTCACATGTGCCTTAGGTACAAAAATCTGAACGCCTACTCTGCTCTGACCACTAGATTGTGATACATGGGCTGTCAGATGGATCAGTGAAGGTAATGCATAAGCCTGATATTCATTCTTTTCAAACACAGAGACAACTCAAGTGCAAATTTTTGATGTCTTCTCATCATTCTACATTCATTTTAAGTTCTATTAGGAAAAAACTATGACTCTTTGGAAGAGAAAAAGAGTTCCACCAAAGATCTGAAAGTTTTAAGGGGGGCTACGATGTACAAATTTGTGCTAGGTAGCTTAAGTTGCACTGGGTCAACAGTGCTTCAGCCAGGCTCAGATTAAACTCCCTAAATCAAGACAGGTAGAGCAATGACACAGCATAACTCAGCAAAACAGTCTGGAAGGAGGCCATGGAAAGAATTTCAAAAGTGACTGAAGATACAGCAAGTGAGGATGATGACTCATGAGGCTAGCATGCCTCCTTGTTGCAATTCTGGGTCTCAGTGACAACTGAGTCATTCCAGTTTTAAAATCAGAGGAATTCCACTTAATACGATGGGAGTTAGACTGCAGTGATCCAGCAAGGAGTTATGGCCACTGTATCTCATCAGCTCTTATCAAAGTTCTCTCTAGTCAGTTAAAAATATGAACACAGACATATGTACTAAAACTGATTGAAATTTCATCAATAATGGGCCAATTCATAATGCCAGGCAGTGTCATACTGAACTGCAGGATGATGCCCACTGGGATATAGCATAAACCAGTCAGTAATGTTAACCATACAACATTTGTACATTGAAGGAAAAAGGAAGATGTGGCAAACACCACAAACAGTGAAGAAACAGTGTGGCCTACCAAAAATGATGAATAACTGAAAAGTGTCAATGAGCAAGGCAAGTTAAAAACAACCATAGCATAAATCTGAGAGTGAGGTCATACCAGAGTTCCCAAGTACTGGTCCAGTTTGTTCTCAGTCCAGAAAAAGATCAGTGGCTCAATAGCTAAACTAATAACTTGTAAGTATCTCTCAGCCAAAGCGATCTGCGTGACTAAAGGGAATAATTTTTGGTGGGAGCAAAAGTCTAGCTTTAAGATGAATATGAGAAAGGACGTCCATCCTATTTTTTGCTATGTTCAAAATTTCCTAATGAACATTCAGTAGTGTTATTGTCCACCAGATGGGGGATTTGCAAACTTTTTTCCACATTTTTGCCACTACTCTCTTACCCTACCCCAAACCATCCAGGGTACGTTGAATACCTCTCCTGCCTCAGTCAGAGATATGACAGTGTAGCCCTTCACCCTCCCCTCCCCAGTCACAGGCAGCTCCTTCTTCTTCCCCCTTCCCCATCCTGTGACAAAGTATATGAATAAGGAGCAAGAAGAGATGAAAAAAGGGAGAAATCCACAGCTTCTGTTTCCCACGGGGATAGCTTGGAACTCACCCAGTCCGAACAGTGTTTGCCTTCCAGCAAGCCATCTCCAAAGGACAAGGCTCTTCTCCTCCAAGTGCATGCGAGAGGAGGCACATTTCCCGAGCTGGGCACCACTGAACTAGGTTTCCCGTAAAGTTTAGCTAGGATACTATTGTGCTGGGTTGCTATTTGTCAACACTTTCCTACTTTCTCAGGGGAATAGAAATTACTCCCACAGCTTTGGAATGGGAAGTGTAAGCAAAAGGAATTTCATCACTACAAATTTCTCATGAAAAAAACACTTGGGTACCCAGAGTACCCACATAAGTAAACATCAGTCTTTAATGACCCTCACAAAAGCTTTTGACTGGTAAATACAGGCAATAACACTGGCAGGTTGCATTAAGTGCATGTATTATTGCAGCACAAGAAACAGGCTTGCAGTGGCAAAAATTTCATCAGATTTCTAAATCAGTAATTGATTGAATATTGCTGGATCTCTGCAAATTCAGCTTGTGACCTGATAGAGTCTTTCTCTTAGATCATTTTTGATTAGCCCATGATTATTTTTTAAAAATTTCTGATTTACTAAGAGCTATGAAACTAAAAGTCCTTCAGTACAAGAGATCTGCAGCATCTTAGTTGTTGGCATGGCAGCATGCTGGCAGACATACTTTGTTTGTTCATAGAATAGCTATTCCCTCAATCTCTTCCCTCCACCCAAAAAACATTGCCTTCAAGAACTACAGTGAGGTGATGAGGCATTTCTGTTCTAAACGGGGGCTGAACTGATGCTTAATTCTAGTCAAGGAGTACAACTGTTAAGATACTGTAAACATCTGAAAAAGGTGAAAAAATAAGGGACAACAAACCCCTCAAAAGCCAGCAAGGCTTCTGGTATAATCCAGCAAACAAACCAAACCCAAAATGAAATTATCTGACCCACCTACCCCTCTCTATCTAGATGATTTGGGGACAGGGGGGGAAGGCTCTCTCACACACAAACATACACACAACTATCTTTGTTAAATATCAGCAGTGCAGAAAAAGGGAGCAATAAGCTTTCTGTGTAGTCTGTACTTGATGCTGCCAGTCTTACTTAGCTCAGAAGTTAGGTGAGGGACATCTGGCCACCTTACATCTCCTTCAGACACCTAAATCTCAAAATCATGCTGATACTAAGCCCTAGGGAATTAGATGTCATATAATGATGAGGCACTCAACAAGGGCTGCACAAAACTGACTGAGAGATCAAAAGGAAGCAGCCAAGTTTCACTGCAGATAAATAATGTAAACTGTGTTTACATCATATTGAGTGTGGAACTGAGCTGAAACTCAGGAAGGAGATTTTGGAGTCATCATCAAAGGAAG